GACGCCACTGCTTGAACTTAACCAGTTAAAACCATACTGTTTACTATCACATACGCTGCCACACCAGCTAGGACCATGACTAGTCTGCTCCTCCAAGTTCTGCTGACGAAACAAAATAGAGATAGTTCCTCTATCGTCAACGCTGCCTTGAATTCCTGCAGATTACATGGGACTCGCAGTTTGGTTTGGATATTCTTACACACGGTGATGGGTTTCCACACGAGCTGAGGTAACATGTCGCCCGCAAAAAGGTTGAGAAGTGTGTCCCACATCCAACTCATGACTGAGGAATCCCAATCAGTTTTGTTTCAAAAGCTCACAGATCAAAGAGCCACAGACCTTTCAAACCTTCTAATCCATCTCGGTCTCACGATCCTTATTTTGTCTTACAGCTCAACGTCCCTCATGTGAGTCTTCAGCCCGTGAGCTTCTGACCCAGAGTTGAGAGTGCTGCCAGTTAAGCCGAACTGACACACGCACTCACACACACATTGGGGACAAAAAGGGGTAAAATCTGATAACGTCAAATGACTTTCTGCAGGACCCAGAAACGAACGACGGCAATCTCCTGAGCAACGCGTCCCACCTGAAGCGCGACAGTTAACATGACCGTTCAAAACCACACGGCCTTTCAAATTGTACAGCCCCACGACTGGAAATACCGTGAAAATGAACCACTGATATTCTGCGGAGTAAGCGACTCCTGAGCCTTCTGCGGACCTGGGCAGTTAACCGAAGTGAAAAACCCTATAGCCATTCCTCGCTCGGATTCCATGCAGAATGCAAATAGAACAACATATTCACGTTTTTTAATGTGGGGTGGCCCGAGGCACATGAGGGCTTATACTATATTTACTGCTTGATGCTCCCAGCTGCCATTCTTATCCATCTGATGTAACCATTTTTTTTACCCTCCCTGTTGCTGCTCGATGGCATTTCCTTCATGCGCGCTGAGAGAAGTGCATGAAGTTCGGGGTCACTAGTCACAGGTAAGAGGAAACTTTGTCGTTCTGTTTGCACTGAGGTTGTGGAAATGCAAGCCAAAGTAAACTCCGACACGCCGCTGGTGTTAAATATAAAGGGAGCTCAGACAACAGGAAAGACTGGATTAGTAACAAACCTCAATTTACTGTGTGTAAAGATGGGAATAATTTCTCTATCCACACTGATTTATACTGTGGACGGACGGACAGAGGCAGCAATGAAAAGTTAAGGAACGTAGAGGCTGGTAGGAGGAAACTTACGCGGAATTTTAAATCACTTATATCTAGGTTTTCTCTCTCTCCGCAGGTTTTAAGCACAGGCAGGCAAGCACTGCTTTATACCTGTCGCAACAAAATTATAGCTTGTTTCAACTAATCTGCAGTGTTAGATAGGACACAAGGTATTACCAATCAGTTATTTATCCTGCAGCTCAGTGGTTATAGCACTCGCCTCGCAAGCGAGAGACCTTGGGTGCTGTTCCCAGCAGGGTGAAACGCTGGGGAAGTTTCCTTACTCCACACGCCTCTGTTTACCTAACAGTAAGTAGGAACGCGGTTGTTAGCCGATTGGCGGATCTCTTTCCGTGGGTAATAATTCCTTCAAAAATAATAATAGTCGTAATTTGGCCATTCAATCCACGTCTGTTTGCGTGGACGCTGCTGCGCGCAATTCGTTGCCGCGTTTCGCCCACAAAAGTCAATTAGCTTTACAGTATATTCTGTGAAGTGCTTCGAGACGTCTCGAAGACGTAATAAGACTCTATATCAAAATGCAAGGATGATTATTATTATTGGTAACAACCCAAGACTAAACGGGCATGCGTGACGGCTTGGGTGTTTCAATCAGAAATCTTACCATCAAGCAATGTTATTTGAAGATGTTCTTATAAAGAAATATTTTTTGATGCTGTTCATTGTGTATTTGGAATAAGATACTAAATAGATTTTACAATGTGGCAAGATTGTTTACAGGTGAAATACGCAACAGAATTGATGTTGTTTTTTGTTTTTTGTCTAAACGTAAAATGCCAGTGAAAACGTTAAATATTCATGTACATTTTGCGGCTCGTGAATGAATATTCTGAATTACGAACGGCTTTTGTATTTATTCATCATTGCATTTAAGTTTGAAAAATCTTTTAAATGAACAGGAAATTGTGATTTAGATTTCTACCCTCAGGTAAGTGGCAAACAAGAGTTTCAATTCCAGAGTAAATCGGATCTAATTCGCAAGGATAAAATCAGGAAAGTTTGTGCTAAACGGGAATTACTCACCTGACATTTCTATCCATAGGTTTCAGTATTTGAATTAAAAATAACTAGTATTGGAAATAATAATAATACTTGCATGTAATATAGTGCCTTTTGTGCACTCCGAGACACCACTCTGCCTGAAGGCTGCTGTACAAGTGTCCGTTGTTGTGGTTTCATCACATCGTCGAGGCCTTGTAAAGTACCTCGCAGGATTTTACCGTTCAAGTGTAGTAACTGTGTATTTGTAGGCAAACGCCGAAGCCAGATTTGGGCACAGCAAAAAAAAAACTTTATGCAAAAGTCGACCCTTTAAGAATATTCGGTGTATGAAATGTGTGAGATCTAAAGTGCTACTGCCTTTAGGTGAAATTAGGAAGTTAAACGCTGTTCTGCATTCAGTCGGCTCAGCCTCAAAACTAGAAAAACTACTTCCGAATAAAAGGGGACAATAATACTGCAGTTACTTCCTTCCTCGGGATCGCTTTGCGAACTATTTTTTTTTTTTAACCGGACTCAAGTGCTCAAAGTAACAATGTTCCACGTAGGAGAGAGAGCTCGATTCATTGAGGGAGATTTAGAATATTGTGCAGAATGAACGCAGCGAAGTGACACAAGGCATTCGGGTCCGCTCCGTAACACCGGTGTGGGAGCCTCGCTATCGGGTCGTCGACCCGAAATGTTGACTCGCTTTCCTCTCTCCATAGATGCTGCCTGACCCGCTGAGCGTTCCCAGCCACTTGTGGTTTTACGCACACGCACCGCTGTGTTTTGCAGCGAGTCCAGTCAGCACTCGATGCATCTCAGAGAGAGAGAGAGAGAGAGAGAAAAAAAAGTATTTTTTATTCTTTTGTCGAGCTGCCTCTTAATCATAGCTTTACTGTTTTTCAGCTTTCAGTGTTGTTTGTCGTCCACTTAATTTACCCGAGTTGGATAACAACCGCCCGCTCCTTTTGGGCTTGTTTAACACACTCTTTGTAATCGGACATACCTCAGCCTCCGGCAAGAACAAAATCGCAAGATTTACTTTAATCTCTTCTATATATCTCTCTGTTCATGTGCACTATCTAATTATTTAATCTCACACCACAATTATGCCTTCCATTAAGTACCGCGTTTCCTCCAGATATTTTTCTTTGTATTTTCATCCTCGTTTTTAGTCTCCATGACTTCAATCCAATCCAATTTCATCCCATTCCCCGCATCCCTAAATCTTTCAACAGCCTGAGATAAAAGGTATTTTCTTCCCCTCCCATGATTGTTAAATCTTCCAAGAGTCCTCCTTTTGCCACTATATCAGTGCCCATTCCTTGCTGACGTAACCTTCTGCTTCGATGTTAGTAGAAATGTCTTCCTCCCTTATTTTCCCTTATTGAATAATCTAAAACGCCTTTAAGTCTTCGAATAATAACAGTGCATTGATTCTGAATTTGATACAGCGCCTTATCACGTTGTTGAGACGTCTCAAAGTACAATATTTTTATCCTGAAGTGTAGTAAATGAGCCACAAACAGCCATGTCCTAAAGGGATCAATTTTACTTGGGGTCGTGTTGGCTAAGACATTGAGAGAATCCATCCTCTACCTTTTACCTGATTTTTTTTCAGTGCATCTCTGGTTTGCACAGTTATACCTTCCTGTTATTTTAGCTTCTAAATTCCTCCGTAAAGTATATCAGCAGCACTCATTAACGCTTTTGTTAATCATATATTCCCAAGGAAAGCAGGGAAACAGATGAATGTATTTCATCCACTGTAGGCAACAAATACTGTGAGTCCTGAAAACAGTCGAACAAGGTGTCGGGAGGTGAATGTTTAACCAGATCAAATCAATAATTTAACCGTATATTTTAACAGCGATAACAATGTATAATTTATTACATTACAGGAAAATGAATTACTCCCCGTAAGGAGAAATAAATTGCAATGGTATCGCGGATGCAAATAACTTAACTGGCTGAGTTTAGTCAGGTTTGCCCACTGACAGACAGCAGTAAGTTATGCCTATTGTGTCCTAATCCATTTTAGCTTTTCTATTAATAATAATAATCCTTACATTTGATGCAGCGCCTTATCACGTCGTTGGGACGGCTCAAAGCGCTTCACAGGATATACTATAAAATGGAGTGACTGTGTATTTTGTGGGCAGCCGATTGCATACAGCAGTGTCCCACAAACAGCCATGAATTGAGTGACCACATGAGAGAAATGGACAACCTGTTACGGGATCTGGCTGGAGTCAGAGCGTCTGACTTTGAGCCCCAAGATTTCCTATTGACTGATTGATTGATGGAGGCAATATGGTCAGTGGAGCAATGGTATTGAGAAGCTGAGTGTTGAAGTTCACCGGTCACTCCCACACCCACACGTTGTGAAGTTTACAATCAACACGACCACTGAATCTCTGTGTGTAGTAAATCATTGTTTCAAATCTAGAGCTAAAGCTAAAGCAGGAACTGGAGCAATAAATCTTCCCTCGTCTTATACTGTACTGTACTCGACTAAGAAAGATTTATTTAAACAGTTTAAAAATATGAAATTTTGGGGAAGGAAATTGATTATCTGTTGCCTCCAATCAGTATTTCGAAGCGCTTTGAGACGTCTCGAAGACGTGAAAAGGCGCTATATCAAATGCAAGGATTATTATTATTATTACTTCAGCTTCTCTGCCCCAGTGCTTGTTGTTGTGCATCGACAGGGTTTACCTGACTGGGTGGGATTGTCGAGAGTCCTCACACTGTGTTGTCCTTGGGTCTCAGCAACGAGGGAGAACAAGACAGCCTGAGAACCGTTTAGCGTACGGCAAACAGCCATGGTGACCAACCATCAGTGAGCAGCAACAGATGGCATTCAGCGACCACAAGTACGACTTGAATCAAGAAGACATCATTGTCAATCCACAAACAGGTAATAATAATAATAATAATAACAATACTTGCATTTGTGACACAGCACCTTATCGCGTCTTCGAGACGTCTCAAAGCGCTTCACAGAATACACTGTCAAGTGAATTGACTGTATATTTTGCGGGCGAAACTCAGCAGCCAATTGCACACAGTCGTGGATTGAGTGACCAATTTTTATTCTGACTTAGCATCCCGTAGGGAAAACAACAACAACATCTTGCATTTATTTGGTGCCTTTCACCTTGAAGGTCACTAAGGCGCTGGACGAGGTTTTGCACCTGAGCTGGGAGTAGGATTCAGGAGGGGTGGGAGCCAAGGGGTGGTGATGGTGATGGTGGTGGGGGGAAGATGACCAAAGGCTCGGTCAAAGAGACAGGTGATGAGGAAAGTGTCCCCATCTTCCTCAGCTGCCACCAGCATTGTCAGGTGCCTCGAGACATCCTCCCAACCTGAGACTCACTGAGTGAATGTAAATTGTATTGTAGTGCAGTGAAACCAATTGACACTAATTTTAAGATTATATCGTTCTGTTTTGGAGGAGGAAAGAAATGTTGTCCTTCCAGCAACTATTGGGCAGGGAAACCAGCTGCAAAGATAAATCCTTTGAAATATAGAAGAGATTAATCATTATGATTTATCTACTGTTAACATGTCATTTCAAAGGTTGACACACAAAGTAGCTGAGCTATCTGACATGTTGATGGCCTGGGTGTTGTTTTCCTTCTATTAGTCAGAAGGGAAAGTGGCCAACGTTCCTTCCAGGGATTGACATGCAAATAAAAGCTTTGTCCGGGCTTGTCTGAGCTAAAGAGAAGCCAGAATTACACCGCTACGTCAAACTTACCTGAATGCAAATTATCAAAGGTATTTTAACGAAGACAGTTTCAGTCAAAGCATACACTAGATTCAAGAGTCAACAGCCAGCACTCAAGCAAATTGTTACCACTAACCATACTCACACTCAGTGCAGAGGCTGGATACCATGTCTACTTAGCCATCTTGTTGGGAAATAAAACTTTTGTCTGTTATACGTCTCAGAATCATTTGCACATCTGCTCGTTGAATGATAATGATAATAACTTGCATTTATAGAGTTCCTTTCACATAATATTATTATTATTTCGGTTAGCCGGGTGTCTGACACGTGCGGAAACCCATCACCGTTCTTGAGAGTCTCCAAACCAAATGAGATTGGCCAGAGCCCTCCGTCTTAATTAAAAAGCAATCCTGGGCCACAGACAGAACGCCAAGTGTGCCCTCCTTTAGCAAACAGAAAGCTACCATCAAACAAACATAATGAATTAGAGCACACTCTAGGGGCTATAATATAAATATTTACCACACCAAAAATAAATAGCAGTGTGAAAGCTGAAAGCCAGAATGCAGAACTAGAGCGGACTCTGATTGAGTTATTACATTTAGGTTCTGTTTAGCTTGTTACTGGGAGTGAAGGCATTGTCCTGCCATTAGTATTTCACAATGTTACCCTTACTTTAACTCAATGGTTATGACGATAATTAACGCTGGCGCTGGCGTTAATTTACTCCAGAGTTAATTATTGTGTCAGTGGTAGCACTCTCCGAGTCAGAAGGTTGGGGGTTACAGCCTCACATGGGGGTCTTGAACTCACATAGTCTAAACTGACACTCCAATGCAGTGCTGGGGGTGGGGGTTGTGTTGTCAGAGGCGCCGTCCTTCGGATGAGAGGTTAAAGCGAGATCCCACCTGCCTGTTCAGGTGGACGTTAAAGATCCCATGGGAATTATTTGAAAAGAAGGGAGTTTCTCCCTGTGTCCATCCTGGCCTTTCAATTATTAAACAATCCGCCTGATAAACCTGGTCACTCACTTCACGGCTGTTTGTTGGACAACTTGGCTGCTGCGTTCGCCTATAAAATACAGAGTCATTACACCCTTTAGAGTGTGCTCTGTGAAGCCTTTCGAGGCGTCCTGCGAAAGAAACCTATATCAAATGCAAGGATCATTATTTTACCAAACGCTGCAAATTGTACCTGTTTGTTCTCTGATGAGGATTGACTGATCAAGTGCTGTTGAATTCCCTGTTTTTACCAGAGATTGGAAAGCACCTCACCGAAGATCAGTCAACACTTTTAACTTAGCACCATTGGGCTACAAGCACTAAAGAGATTTGCGCTGTTAATTCAGACTGTAAAAGATAATCTTGATGGAATTTATCCCCATATTTAGTTTCATACGTTTTTCCAAAAATTAATGATAAATTGCTCGAGATGTCCCAGACCTTCTTTGACAAGGAGGAGGAAGGCAATAAGATGAGATGACTTCTCAAGGGTTGAACTCATTCCAGGTCCAAAAGTAACTCGATCTTGAACATGTCTTTGAACAATCCCAGCAGCTGTGGAATTACAGTAATCTACAGTTGAATCCTTTGATCAAGAATCAGTTCATTACAACCACAAGGTCGGACCTTTGTATTTTCAGAAAAATCAAGGCTTCTGTGATCTTTGAGTTGACGTAGGATTTCAACATTGTTCCCACTTGCATCCTCGCCAACATCAGAGGATTAATTACACAACTGTTTTTATATCATTTTAGTCTTTCCAATTTCTATATTGTTCTTTCGATACTGAGATTTCCCTCATAACTTAAACACCTGCTTTGACCTGGTTACACCTACATATTTTGCCATTCTGTAATATTGATTGCAGGCCAATATTATAATCAATTATACTAACCACCACCCAATAGAAATTTCCTGTTGGGCCTTTTAATAATAATAATAATAGTAATAATAATCCTCGCATTTGATACAGCGCCTTATCACGTCGTTGAGACGTCTCAAAGCGCTGCGCAGAATAGATTGTAAAGTCGACTGACTGTGTATTTTGTGGGCGAAACGCGGCAGCCAATTGCGCGCTGCAGGGTCCCACGGATAGTGTTGGATTTTTTTTTCCCCCCTTCTCTGTATCAGTCAGAATGGGTTCTTGTAGCTGAACGACTTGCCGCAGACCACCAACAATGCTGCTCGCTCTTCAGGTATCTGCTAGAGGGCATGTCACAACAGCTGGGCACTCACCACTCACTCCCCTTCCTATTCACCTGATGGGAAATCACCGAGCCTGAAGTCAACACCTCCCACAGCGGTGAGGTTAAAATGAGAGGGGGAGAGATTGAACAGCGATGTTCTGATGTTTGACACCGCTCTGCTGAAATAGAGAGAGCAATTTTCAGGAGGAAAGCATTCTTCAAGTGGACTCACCAGAGTGGGGGTATATTTTTGGCTTTGTTTTGATTCAGAAATCATCTTCCCGTTATCTTATTAATTCTGGGTGCTGTCTGCCTTCCGATTCAGGTGGGGACAAAGGCATTGGTTTTTCAAAGAAACGTGGATAAAATAATAAGTTTTTTGCATTTGTTACAGCGCCTTAGCACGTGGTCAAAAGATATCAAAGGCTACGTTGATTGACCAAATATTTTTGCCCCCCATGAGTTAACTCTACACCAATCCACATTGTGCCTCTTTATTCCACGTGGGTTTGGTATATAAATGCACGAGCCAACTGGGTTTTGTCAGCCCTTTTAATTCAACCCTCACCATCCACCCACCCCCACTCTGCACCAAGTACTGTAGTTGAGCTATATCTAGAGCACCAGCCACTTATGAACACTTAATGTACCTCAAAAGCTTTCCATCACTTTCATTACTTATCCATGAAATTAGATTGAACATTATTTTAGGATTTGACACATCTCGGAGGGGGGGGGGAGGTGGGGGGTTATCATTGATATCAACGGCATGATAAGGCTCTATCTCAAATGCAAGGACTGTCATTCTTATTCTAAGCATTGCTTTCATAATAGGATGCTTGGATCTAAATTAAGGTACTGAGCTTCTTTACCAACCATTACAACTCCAACCAGATGTACAGGTTGAAATCCTAGGACACTTGCTGGCAAGAATGGAGACGATTGCCAGACAGAAAAAGACTCCAGGCCACCAACACCCAACAAAAAAGCTACACCCACAATCTCTGCAGGACACATACGAGTTTACTTCAAGGCTTTGGTCTCGTTTGGAGATTCAGACCTTGCTGGTAAACTGTTGAAGTTTCGTGATTGCGATCTGCGATATCATTTGAATAAGTTGCCGAGCTCTACCCCTCATTAATCATGTCGAGCTTATTCATTATTCTGGCTCTAATCATGGCAGTGATTGAGAAGTTTCATGATACAGTGTTAAAAGTCCTGGTTGGGCGTCAAAACTGACATCAAGTAAATGGCAGATTCTGCGAAAATTAATTAAGGCCAAGAGCTTGAATTACGAGTTGGTTTCAAGTCAAAAACTCCGAAATGCAATATCTTGCAGCTGACAGGAAAACTCCATCACAGGAAGCCTCGACTGAACTTGCTGTTTGGTTAGATAGACCTGCAGTAAACGTTTTATCAGCATTGTCAGTTGACACAATATCAGATAACGGTGCATGAAATATAGCATTGTCCTTCCTTTGGTAAGTTGCCAAATAACTATTAGGCGATTACCAATGCTGATAAGACAGATGATACAATTGCCCGGTCTAGTTCCTGAAGTTATTGCACAATGAATTGCGCAATTTGTTTGTCCAGAGTAGAAGGTGACAGACATTTCTTTAACCAATTGCAGATTTTCTGGTGGATCAACCTCTCCAGATTCATCAAGTGCCAGTCAGTGCCAACGCCATGTTTCAAACCAACATGAATTACATGGCAGGACACATGGCTGGCAACTCGTTTCTGAACCAGCAACAAACTAACACTGAGCAAGTGGCCAGGGAATCACCATTACAACTCGTGCACGCGGTGAGTTCATTATCTTACTTACCTTCGTTTTCCACCCATCACACAGTCAAATAATAATAATAAACCTTGCATTCGGTACAGCGTCTTAGCACGTCTTCGAGACGTCTCAAAGAGCTTCACAGGATACGCTATAAAGCGAATTGACTGTATGTATTGTGGGCGAAACGCGGCAGCCAATTGCACACAGCAGCGTCCCCACACACAGCCGCGGGTTGAGTGACCAACTTATTATTATTTTATTTTAATTATTTATTTTTGAAGGGATTATTACCCCCGGAAAAGCGATCCACCAATCGACTAACGCTACACACCAGCTTCCTCATCCCTCCTCAAGCTGGGTGACTGAGCCGTACATTGACAGCCGTGAGGTTAATGCCCCAACAGAAAGTTTGCGTATGCCATTGATCAATTGAAGACAGGATTGTGAAGTGAACATCTTAACCATCAAGTTGTTTCCCAGGGCAAGGAATTGTCGTCCAAATAAAAGTGATTCAAGTTCAAGATTTCACCCACCCAAAAAAAAGTGTTTCGCCCACAAAATATACAGTCACTTTCCAGTGTATCCTGTGAAGCGCTTTGAGACGTCTTACCGATGTGATAAGGCGCTGTATCAAATGCGCGGATTATTAAGATCGTTATTATTATTCACACTCTTTCAAATTCATCACAAATGTTCACATCTGCAAATATATAGAGTCTTGCCTCAGTTTTACTGTACAAAAACGAACAATGGATTGATTTACCCGATTCTTCACGTCGTTGCTGTTAAGAACGGGGTGGGGGGCGGGGGGGAATGATTAATAATGTGCCATTTACCCCATGGGTTTTCAAAGTATTCGTAGATTTAATTCCACTCTCACTGACGGGACGCCAACTTGCAGACGTTTGCAGAGTAAACAATTCCGGCACCATCTATTCTCATGAGACACTGTGACCTTGAGTAATAGGTTCAGGAACAACAAAATAAAGAGCGTTGGCTGGAACCCGATGGTTCTCCATTTCCCATGAAGGCAAATAACTTCAGCCCTGTCCCTCGATTCCCTTCCCAAAGCTCCGCAGATCTTCGCAACCCTCTCTTTTTGGCACAAGTGATGTCATTTGTGTTTCATACAGTTCCCCAGAGAACCAAATCCTCAAAAAAAATACAGATCAGGGAAAATAACACTATTGATTTGTTACGGGTGAAAAAACCCTGACCTGTCAGTCACCAGCACGCAAGAGGAATGACATCATCTGGAAGTTTATAAAGGGATCAGTTGAGGAACACGCGATAACTTGTTAATCATGTGGCAGCTCCTGTAAGCTTAGATATACTGCTACATATAACAGCGAGTACTTCAGCCTCTCTCCCTTTGGAGCTCCACCCCACAGTCCCTTCGCCTCGCTCTCTCCCTTGCCTCCCTCAAGGCACGTCTCAAGACTCTCCTCTTTGACCACACCTCCGGTCTCCCTCCCTCTGGCCTCTGCTCCGGTCCAAATCCCTGACTTGTCCGGAACCTTGGGACGTCCTCCCAAAGCGAACGACGCTATATTATTATTATTATTGTCCTGCTTTCGTATGTTCCTTGATTCAGGACTACTGTGTTCCCGTTCAACTCTTGTCCAGCTCCATTGCATTAACAGTCAGCGAGATACTATTGATGAAATTCATCCCATTAACCTGCAGAGATTTTTATTTTTGAAAATTCCAATCCTACAGGAAACCATTCGTGGTTTAATATCCTTTTTTATAATTATCTTATAACAGCCCCTGAGCACAATTCTGTCAGAAACAATTGGAGTTGATGGATTCTAATAAATCTCTGCATTGGTTTTCAACCCCTCCTGGTAACCCGATCTCATGCTTGAGGGATATTTTTAATCAGAATATTAAAGCTTTTCTTCAAGAAGAACTGGCTTTGAAAGCACACAGGTCTGAAATTATTCCTTCCCAAAAAAAATCTGAAAAAGAAAACATCGTAACCAATGCGAAACGTTTGAGATCAGCCCAAATAATAATAATAATTATCACAAACAGCTATGGAGTGAGTGACCAATTTTACTTCTGGGATTGTTGGTCAGGACACGGGGATTGTTAACAGCCACCTGACCAGGCAGACAGGACCTCGGTTTAACATCCCCCCCACCGCCCCCCAGCACTGCATTGGACTGTCAGCTTAGTTATATAATTCCAAGTCCCGACATGGAGGTGGGGTGGGGGTTTTAACCCAGAATCTTCTGACTCAAAGGCGAGAGTTCTGCCCACTGAGCCAGGCTGACCCCAAACGGCAATAACTGAAACCCATCCTCTCTAATCCATTGATCTTCGGTCACTAATTCAGAAGCCACGAAAATATAATGGTTTTAGGCCAAATTTTGCTCTCACTGCACTCCAGCGCCTCGGGCCGTCCTCCCGACGTGAAGGGCGCTCTATAAATGTAATTTTGTTGCTGTTGTTGTTGTTGTTGTTCTGTTCCTCCCCTTCCCCGAATTCCATTAGATGTTATCGTCCATACTATAAACCACTCTTTGCCCCAAAACGAAAGCATTTCTGATGTTGACATGGAAACATAAATAAATAGATCCTGTTAAGTGCATTGCAGGTGTCCCATAAACAGAGAGCAATGTAACCACGGCAATGCCGTTCAATCCTCCCACATATCGCCAGACACTGAGAATAGCTTACAGCAACCGTCTAAGAACTGATCACATTTGTATCTTACGACAGGAACACAGATTATTAATAGATGGTGTGTGGGAAAGAGCAAGAACATTGCAATAACGTGGATTTTTTTTTTTCCTAATGAATATTGATGCCTCGATTCTAAAATAACAACCATCATTGTCGTCATCGGGTTACTCTCTCTCTCACTGTCTCCGCGGCTTCTCACCATCCTGTAGCGTACACACGACTTGATGTTGAGGTCCTCTCAAACCTCTCACGATAGGTTATCATTAGAAAGGAGGCAAACAACTTCACAGGTTCACGGAAATCCCAGACACCATGCTCTAAGACTAATTACGAGAGAGCAAAGAGCGTTTAGGAGACAACTGGTCAAACCATTTACTTCGATGTACGATGATAAACAACAAATTACGACTCAGCTCCAGAACGCAGAAATCTTTCGGAAATGTTAAATAATTCACACCAACCGTAAATCACACTGAATATCATGGCACAAAATAGCCAGAAGGAGAAAGGAGTGAAACATAGTAAAAGGCAAGTTTAACCAGAAAGGTCACAGGTTTTAATCCCCAGTTCAAAACCGGAACGATTAAGCGTCACCCAAACATGTCACACTGAAGCGTAAACCTCCGTTATTTCTGTGTTTTATTTGAACATTATTTGAATGTTATTTTTCCTGGGTCTAAAGGTAAACGTCGAAACGAATTTCTGTGGGGATAGTTTATTTTCGATGGATAATCAGTTGTCAGTCAGTCTGACTCGGTTGGAAGCAAAGTTGGGGGGCGTGAGATGTTAAACTGACTTCCCGTCTGCCAGACACACGGAAATGTCCATGTGTAGGTGGCGTACATGTTCGACCCTCTCCACTGTCTCACTCATTCATCGTGCTTCATCACTATGTTCTTTCTCAACAGATACAAGATTCAAAGTACCAGACAGACACTCTGTCGGGAGTGGGGCTCGAACAGCCTGAGCAGCAGAAGCTGCTGTGCTATCACTCCCAGCCACAACCCCTCTACTGTCCGATTCAGCCCATCCAGCAACAGGTAATTGAGATCACACCACCAACAACAACTACTTGCATTTATATAGCGCCCTTCACACCGGGCAACATCTCAGAGCCGTAGATAGTGGAATGCGAAGGTAAAGGGTTATTTCAGGAGAGACTGCAGGAAGTTTTTCTTTACCCAGAGGGTGTTTAACGACTGGAATAGGTTGGCTGGAAAGTCAGTTGAGGCCAGGACACTGGGACTCATTTAAAAAAACACTAATACAATCTCAAAGCTCAAAGGCTCAGGGGCGAGAGCCGGGCAGATACACATAATTATTACCAGCAATGCCCCCCCCAAACCATCAACCTCAATCCGAACCGACCTTGTGAAGGATTAACCCTGTTTGATGTGTGTTGCAGTATTGTGATGTTGCCGGTTACCCCGGGGCCTGTGCTGTGGTTCAGTTTCCATATCAAAGGATTGCACCTCACTTCACCCAGGAAGCACAGCACCACCTGTACCCCAAACCCATTTACTCTTACAGGTAAAGAGATTCTCTCTCTCTCTCTTTCTTGCGTGCAAAATAATTCTATCCACTGGCCGTTTGTAGAGTCCTGTAGTGTAGTGGTTAGCGCACTCGCCTCGCAAGCGAGAGGACCTGGGTTCGATATCCGGGCAGGGCGAACCCTTTACTTTATTTGGGGGATTATTGGTCAGGACACCAGGAGGAACTTCCATCTTGTTTCAAGTGGCGTCAAGGCATTTTTAACATCCACCTGAACCAGCAGATGGAGTCGGTTTAGTTTAGTGTCTCATCCAAAGAACACACTTTAGTCAATCCAAGACAGACTCTGTAAAGTATCATCCTTGAACCCACAACCTCTAACCCAGAAGGTGAGAGCACTGCCAACTGAGCCAGGCTGACACCTAAATTACTGATATCAAATGAAAAGGGTATTATAATGGTATAAAGTTCAGACATGTCAATATAATTGACTGAATATGATTTTGCCTGGATGTTCGGTCTTCAGCACTATCTGATAGTTTACCTTTGAGGTTTTTTAAGCAAAGGTTTTTTTTAATCCACGCCAGCGGTTAATTACATTTTTGCTTTCGAGCGCTTGAGATTTATTTCAGACACATGTCACAAAAGATGAGCTTCGTTTGAAGAATTTTAACATCATCAAAGATTGTCGAGCCTGAAATCGTACGAAGCTCTCCTAAAAGTATTGAGAACCATCACGTAAGAGTGACATTGGTTTATAAAAGGAACAAGGAATGCCTCTGTGATTGCTACCTTCACACAGGCTATTTTCCAAAATGAGCAAATCATATATACACTGTGCAGAGTTACAGTTAAACCAGTCACTTTACCGTAGCAGTTTAAAGTGCGGTTTCCTTTTTGAGATTTTGGGAAGCTAGTATTTCTCTTTTAATTGTAAACACGAGTACGTGGATGCTTGTTACCCAAGCTATGGCACATGTATCCACGCTACACACCGCATTTCCTGAGCTGCATATCCCCAGAGCAAACAGTTACCCCACGTGCCATGAAGGATTTAATGTTGTCTCGTATCACATTACTGCATTCTCTTCAAACAGCAAATAACAAATAAATGATAGGTGTCAGCCCGGCTCAGTTGGTAACGCTCTCGCCCCGACGAGTCAGAAGGCTCTGGGTTCAAGCCCCACATCAGGACTTTGATCTCGCAATCTGGGGGGGGGGAGGGTTGTACAGTTGGAGGTGCCGTCATTCGGGTGAGATGATGAACTGAGGTTCTCGCCGTGGCACTATTAGAAAAGAGATGGGAGTTTGTCCAAAATCTTCTGGCCAACAATCCCCCAAATAAAATTGGTCATTCAATTCATAGCTGTTTTTGAGACACTGCTGTGGTTGTGAGCAAGTGGGCTGCCACATTCGCCCACACATACACGGTCACGACACACAGAATATCCACAGTATATCCTGTGAAGCTTTTTGAGAATCCTCCCAATGTTAAAGGCGCTGTATCAAAGGCACGGATTATGGATTATCGCCACTGCACAGAGCAGAAAGTTACAGATGAACGGAACTGGTATCTTTTTTTCTGTATTACGTACAAGTTTCATAGATGTCAGTGCAGCATAATATTTTGTGACAGTCTAGACTATATGAGCTCAAAGTCCTGACGTGGGGCTTCAACCCACGAGCTTCTGACTCAGAGCCGAGAGTGCTACCCACTGAGCCAGGCTGAACCTGGTACCCAAATTACTCTTGAAAACTATTTCCCCAAAAATATCAGATCATAATCGGTGATGCAGGTCCCAGGCAATTAGTATAGGGGATGCACTACATAAATACAGGGATGAATATGTAGCACAGCACATGTGTTGGAGATATGAACGATTTCACTTCAATTATACAATACACTTTGGCGGTTGAAACCAAGTTGATAGAACCAGTTCCTTAGGAAGCAGGAAGCCACTAAAGGAAACCAATTTCAATACTAAGCGTTGGATCAAAGAATCAAGAATTTCTGACTCCAACAGCAAACGTAAATCTGAGTCTGTTCAGTAACACAATATCAATTTACTTTGTCAGTCAAACCAGACCTAAGTGGCCTGAGGGTATTTGTTAAGTAACATAGTATAATATACACGTATAATATACAGTATATTGTTGAGTAATACAGTAAAATTCAGTTAATTGAATATCAGATAATTGAATAGTTCAGTTTATTGAATAGAATTTAGAAATCCCAAACCATTTGTATGTCTAATCTAATCATACTGATCAGTTAAATGCAAGTCTGGTTATTTGAGTAGTCCGGTCTATCAAATATTTTTTACTGTCAAATTGAGTCTGCGAATATCAGAATATCTCTGTATATATCAGACGGAGAGGGTGGGGAGTGTATTAAACATGTAATAAATGCAAACCCAAATCTTCTCTCTTTTTGAAGCATTCTGATATTTATGGCTCTGAAGAACAGTAAAACAGGGAGTTTGCCCGTCAGTGAGATCTACAACTTCATGACTGAACATTTCCCCTATTTTAAGGTAAGTTGATCAGTTGCCACAAATTACCATCATAGGTATTTCTTAACAACAACAATAATCGTTGCATTTGATACAGCGCCTTATCACGTCTTCGAGACGTTTCAAAGCGCTTCACAGCATCAACTGTAAAGTGAACTGACTGTGTATTTTGCAGCTGAATGCGGCAGCCAATTGCGCACAGCGGCGTCTCCCACGAACACAGAACAAAACACAATTAAAACAGCTTTTTCTTTTGTTTTAATTCATAACATAAACCAGGTGCTCTCAGGAAGCTTTTAGGCTGTTTGTCTCGGTCAGGAATTTGTGATCACAACAATACCTTTGTTCTGATTGAAAGGTTTTATGTCGCTCAAAATCCCGAACACAAAGTTACCTTTCTCAGATCTCCCTGAAACTCTTTCACTTCTATCTTCCAATCTCTAGAAAGTTGCACCATTTGTGAGTTTATTCAAAGAATCTCCTTTCCTGCGTTATCTGTTCCCATCTTCCGTGTAACGTCAGAGGAGGCTAAAGGCTGATATAATCAAAGTGTGAAGAATTCTGAAAGGGTTTGACACGTTAAACTCTGTCCTCTGGTGGGTCTATCAGTTGCGGAAGGAAATAATAATAATAAATAATAATAATAATAATAAATAACCTTAAAAGAGGACTGAGACAAGGGGAAAGATCCCCTCACAGTGAACACTGGGAATGTGGAACAAGCTGCCCAGAGAGAGACAGAGAGGAGAATCCGGTCAATATACAGTCAATTCACTTTACAGTATATCCTCTGAAGAGCATTGAGACATCTCGAAGATGTGATAAGGCACTATATCAAATGCAAGGATTATTAATATTATTATTATCGGTGGTTATCTTACCTGGGCCATCGGATGCTCTATGGAGCAGGCTTGATGGGCTGAATGGCCTCCTCCTGTCCCTAATTTCCTATGTCCTTGTTGCCTTCAAATTAGTCAATGTTCATGATTGATTTATCACTGCCATATTCACGCGGGATTCATTCTCATGAATATTAAAAATTAATTTATATTAAAATAAAACGATTACCAAGTCTAAAATTGGACTGTCCGAACTCTGGCAAGGCCGCTGAGAAATTCAAAATGAGGAAAAAAACACCTTTGATCTCAGCAGCGTGCAGAAAACAAATGGGCTGATTAAGTAGCCATGATCTTATAGAATGGCGGAACAGGCTCGAGGGGCTGAATGGCCTCCTCGTGTTCCTATGTATAGTGTTCAGGGAACTCTAGAAATTTACAGCAGAGAATAAACCTGTTGCTAAACGTACTGTTCAGCGCTTTGAGGTGTCCTCCCGACGTGAAAGGCGCTCTATAATTGTAATTTTGTGTTGTTGTTGTTGTGGATGATCCACATACCCCACAGCTTATAAATTGCGTTTAAGAGGTTCACTCGTTTTCAAACACGACCCGAATATTTTCCTGGAGGGTGGGAGGTGGGGGGGCTTTTATTTTCCATAAATATCTTCATTTGCACATGAAAGTTCCGATCGGATAAACAGCGAAAAATTAGAAATGCTAATTCGTGAGGAGTTTAGAAACCTGAGCCAGTGCAGGTGCAGCAAGTTTTAATATGATAAATCATTAAATGATATTTCACTGTCAGATCACGAGATAAAAAAAGGGAAAAATTCCTGCACATTATATTTGGAACCCATCGACACAAAGAAGCTTTCAGCGAACAGTTTTAGGTTTCCAACCAGTCATTCTGTGTCCCCTGAATCGCCACGGGGTAATAACTCATTAAACTTCACGTGCAGTAAGCTCCTCCAGAGGAAACTCCGAGTCTCTAAGGCACGATGATGAACGGTAAGCACCCAGATTTGCCCCTCAGAACCACTTTCTGAATGATCTCCTCGGTGCTGTCATTGGCAGAGCAGGCCTCTTTTTGGGAGGTCAGCCGGGTGTCTTACACATGAGGAAACCCGTCACCGATGCTTACGATCATCCAAACCAAGCTGAGAATTCCATGCATCTATCCCACCTACACATGGAAATCCCAGAGATAGATGGTTGCAATGGAATGCGCTCTCTCTCTCTCTCTCTCTCCCTGGAGGGACACATCCTGTTTACCTAATTCCAGAAAGTATTAGGCGCAGGTTGGCGAGAGCCAAAGCTTGGGGACCCCAGAGTGTGCGTTGGGGGTAACTGCTGGAGTCTAACCGGCTAAAACCACAGAGCTTGCCATTGATATCGCTGTCCGGCAAGCCCTCCCGCTACTTGAGCAGCTAGGACCACCCAGTCCGTGTTGCTTTGCGTGTTTGCCATGTCAGGTGCCTGCCTTAGAGAGATGGAGGGTTTAAGATAAAGCGAAGTTTCACAGCTCTCTCTCTCACCAGCCTCCAGTGGCCAACGACAGGAAGCAGATCAGTCGCCTGCCTGTTTATTCTCTGAGTCTGTGAGGATAAGGGGGTTGAATGCAACCCAAAGGAAGGTGGGGGGAGTTAATAATAATATAGTAACAACCCTTGCATTTGATATAGCGCCTGATCACGTCGCTGAGGGAGTCTCAAAGCGCTTCACAGGATATACTGCAAAGTGTGGACTTTGTGAGCGAAACAACGGTAGCAATTTTACATTACGGCTTTGGTCCAACTCCCCCCCCCACCCCGCAATGCAACAGGCGTTCACATCCAGCAAAAGGGTAGAATCAATAGATTATCAAACGGTGGAAATATTTGAGATTTACCAAGAAAATCTCAGAGGTCCTCTCTTTGGGCTGTGCGATCAGTGACGCCCCTGGCCAGCAGTTGGCGCTGCCGCTACATTACACACCCCACAGCCTCTCTCATCGCTGAGCAAATTAAATTGGCTGTCGCATTTCACCCACAAAGTACACAGTCACTACACCTTACGGTACGGGTACATCCTGTGAAGCCCTTTGGGACGCCTCGAAGTCACGATCCTCTTGCGCCCCAGAGAAATCCGAAGAGCACCGTATTGTGCGACAAGAAAAACACCTCTCCCCCCCCCCCCACCTCCTCCCCACTCCGCACTCCATCTCCCCCTGGCTCAGAGTCAGACTGCCCCACGATCAAGCGCTCTAGGGCGCTACCCCATGTGACGGGCGTTATATAAATGCAAGTTGTTACTGTTGTTATTTTATTAGTAGCCGTAAACCGCTCACTCTTCATTGAACGCCTGGACGGTCAAAAGATGGGTTTGGCTCTTGAAACAGGTAAACTATTAATGTCGGACCCGTAACCTACATCGCAGTGCACATCACTGAACCTCCTGGTTACGTTACGTCTAAAAATGTTGCTGCAGAGCGCGCCGGACGGCTGGAAGAATTCCGTGCGACACAACCTGTCTCTGAATAAATGCTTCGAGAAGGTGGAGAACAAGTGCGGGGGTTCATCCAGGAAGGGCTGCCTGTGGGCCCTGAACCCAGCCAAGGTCCAAAAGATGCAGGAGGAGCTGCAGAAGTGGAAGAGGAAAGATCCATCGGCGGTGCGGAAGAGCATGGCCAAACCAGGCAAGTCAACAGAGAGAGCAATTGCATTGTACCTCACTGTGATCTGCCAGTTCCTCGGAATTTTCATGAGGATTATGTCCCTCTCTCTCTCTCTCTCTTTCTCTGTCTCACACACACGCACACGCACACAGACACGCAGACACATGGTTCTCTGGGAAGCTTGTCACTTTCGCTCACACTGAGAATATTATTAACTCAACATGTTTCCCTGTACCACCTCTGTTCCAAGGCTAAGGTAACGTAACGAGTGCTTATCGGTGGGTGAGACGGCAGGACTCATAGCTGCCCTCGCCAATAGTCAGGGTGAGAACTAACGAACCAGTTACTCACTTGAGGAGTGCCACGACTGAAAGCCACGAAACCCTCTGCAACTTTTCCGGCAGGAAGCACTGTTTTTTTTCCCTGTCTTCGATAAAAAGATGTAACGTGTGAATGAAACAAGCAACAATAATCCATCCATTTGGCAGAGCACCTTACCACGTCTTCGAGACATCTCAAAGCGAATCGACCATATATTTTGGGGGCAAAATTGCACACAGCAGTGTCCCAAATAGTCGTGGATTGAGCGGCCAAATTATTATTATTTATTTATTTATTTTGAAGCGATAGCTTCAGGCTCTGCATTCATCCCAACAAAGTTCAAAACAAACTCCCTTTGTTTTTGCAGATGAACTGGACAGATTGATCGGAGAAAAAAATGACAAAATGAGATCTTCCAAGATGACTTCACCTCCTCTCAATCCTCGAAACCCCAAATCTCCCCATCACCCGGTGGGTCACCCCCACACACTCGGTCACCCCCTGCCCCCAAACCACCCTCAGCCTCACTCGTACGGTCAGGTCAGGAGGCAGGTTAATATCCACCGGGATTGCCAACAAGAACTGTGTCACCCTCACCCCTACATTCAGGCCGGAGTCCAGGCTAACAGTGCTGAGAACTCGGCTGTTAACCCATCCCAGACACCATCCATTCACAGCAGCTCCGCCATCAACTCTCAGCTGCTAATGGAACAAGCTATGATCATTGAGACGCAGGACATTCTCATGGAAGCAGATATCAGCACAGACATCGATGCCCTTAACCCCAGTCTGGTGGACTTTGAGCTTCAAGGTAAGCCTTCTCACTCACTTTCAGATCATATTTTCGCCCACAAAATAACCAGTCACTCCACTTTACATTGTATCCTGCGAAGCGCTTTGAGACGTCTCGAAGACGTGATAAGGGGCTGTATCAAATGTAAGGATTATTATGATTATTAACCCCCTTTTACAATTTTAAATTAAAAAAAACAATAATAATCTGGTCACTAAATCCACGACTGTTTGTGGGGACGCTGCTGCGTGCAATTGGTCGCCACGTTTCGCCCACAAAAATACACAGTTAATTCACTTTGCAGTGTATCCTGTGAAGCGCTTTGAGACGTTTCGAAGACATGGTAAGGCGCGATATCAAATCCCATGATTATTGTGAGTAGTAGTACAGAGTGTGGCCTGATTTTCAGCCTAGATTCACAGCCCCAGCATCGTGTCACGCTCTCAGCCTGCAGCGCGGAGCTAATGAATCACACTTTCCTATTCAAAGTACAATAGGGTTTTCTTTCTCAAAACCTGTTACCGGTGGTGACATTCAGAGAGATGTCAGAGAGCTGTTCAGCAAAGAGGATGATCATGTCCCCCCTCCACACCCACACACACACACACACCAGGCAGCAGTCAGACACACACACACAAGCTCAGGCTGAATCTTCTCCCTTCTAATCTTCGAGTCAATGCGCCCAGCCTTGTGGCTCAGCCGCTCTCTCTTGCTTGATGTTAATTTGCTCAGCACACATCAAGACGGAATTTTGTGAGGTCCACCTGCAAAATACAATCGCCACGCTTTGCGGTTTGTAAAATAAAAAGTAAAAAAAAAAAGAAAATCCGGTCGCTCAATCCACGACTGTTTGTGGGGACGCTGCTGTGCGCGATTGGCTGCCGCATTGCGCCCAGAAAAAAATACAGAGTCACTACACTTTACAGTATATTCTGCGAAGCGCTTTGAGATGTCTCAAAGACGCGATAAGGCGCGGCATCAAGTACCAGGATTATTAATTTAATTAATGGTTACAGGCAAATTAATACATGAACTAATTTTCGAAACTTATTAATAACTTTAAAATGCCCCCAAAACACTAACCTTGGGTGTATAGAAGGTTGTCAAGTCAGGCAGGAATCCTGTTCTGGGTGTAGGTGTGTCCGTCATTGATTACCGTTTTGATTCCCAGGTAACCTGTGGGAAGAGCTAAAGGACGACAGTCTAACCCCAGATCACTTGGTCTCAACTGCTTCGTCCCCTCAATCGCCTTCGTTCTTCCCTTTCTACTGGAACGCGTTGGAGAGCAGTGATAGCACCAGCTCCCCGAGCTGTCCGGAGCCCAGCCTCGCTGACCTGCAGCTGACCAGTGTGTACTCCACATACACTGACCTAGACAGCAAGCCCAGCTCTTATCTGAACAGCACAGGCTGCACGCCTATAGCACTGATGTGACCAAGGACCATTCACAGCTCTGCATCGACCACAGCGCCCAGAGGTTGATAGCCTTAAAAGCAAAAGCAGTTTCACACCCCCCAGCACCGGACTGGAGCATAAGCCTAGACACCGAGTTCTAAAGTCACAACGTGGGGGTTTGAACCCACAACCTTCCGACTCAGAGGTGAGAGCGTTTCCGCTAATGTTACTGTCTCTGAGTGAGCCAGGCTGCCACCTCAGGTTGTAAGTTATTAAATATTTCTGATCAAGTGACCTGCCCCTGTGGTGGTTGGAAGCGAGGATAAACCTCGCTATCTGATGACAGCAGAGCTGGAAGGATGAAGGATGTGAAAGCCGACAGCAAATAGACAAATTATGGAGCAGGAAGTGCCGCTCAGAAATAACATCGTGGAGCCAACGCCAACATTGCAAACAGACAGTTTCAACATTGACTGGACGGCTGCTGGCGTTTATCCCAATCAATACGTGGGTGTTTGTGTGTTTGAGGGGGTAAGGAAGGGAAATGTTCATTAGGATAATTAAAAGGCATTTCCTCCCCTCACTCCCTCCTCCTTGTTTACCCAACACGCAAAGTAACAATAATAATCCTTGCGTCTTGATATTTGATATATAAAGCGCTTCGCAGAATATGCTGTTGTTTCGGATTTCCAGCATCTGCAGTATTTTGTGTTTTGTTCATACTGCAGTGAATTCACTGTGTACTTTGTGGCCGAAATGCTGGGTGTCCTGCATAATGTGTGGTGAGTCGATGTAACCCACAGTTGCACTGTTCAGACAGAAGCATTGCTGTGCCACTATAAGCCATAGAACATGGAAATGGACAACACCACAGGTAGGCCATTTGGTCCATCTATTCATGTCGGTGTTTGTGCCTTCAAGAAGCCATCCACCCTAGTCCCCAGTCCCTGCTCTCTCCCCGTGTGTAACCGCTTCAATACCACAACTCTGCGATGTTTTTTTTTACCCCAATACAAATTGGCTGACCAGAAACTTCTTACATAGCAGCAGGAGTAGGTGATTCAACCCCTTGAGCCTGTTCCGCCATCCTGTAAGATCATGACTGATCTGTACTATCCCTTGATCCAATACAAAATACAATACAAAGTTAGGTTTCTATATCTCTTCTCACGTCAGGAGGAGATGCCAAGTCCCTTTTGCTACCCTGACCTAACAAATATCTACCCACCTCAGTCTTGAAAATGTGAATGGATCCGGCCGTAATCCACAGCCCTTTGGGGGAGAGAGTTTCTGATTCCCATTAGCCTTTGCGTGAAAACGTGCTCTGCGTTTCAAACACCACGGCAGACTCCACGCGTCTTGCATGCGATGTAATATTCCACAAGATTTTGCTAGGTGACCAGTGTAGCAGAGTGGAGCTGTGTAAATGTTAGTCTCCAGCTATCACTTAGTATTAATCACCTGGATATCGGACATATTACTGCTGATTGATCTCAAAACGCAAAGGCATTGGGTCGACACTTACTTACTTTCCATTGAAACAGGGACCTTCTTCCAGCCAGTGCCAGACATAAAGCGTATCCCGACACAGTGCTGTAGAAAGGACGGGCGTTGAGTTCAGGCTGACCAGCTCCTTGCTAAAGGTCTAGCGCAGGCCATTTCCGACACCATATGGTGCATTGATGCATTGAGTATCCTAACATCAGTTCACGCTGACCTCAGCCACTCAGCGTGTGGGGTAGGAATTAAGGGCATCCGGCAGCTGGTTTCACAACAGCTTTGGTCAAAAGTCCCTTTTATTTTGCCAGGTAAATATTGGGTCACTTCGAGCTGTTCATTACCAGAGACCGTAATAAAATTCACTGTTCCTCTCGCTACCAAAATGGGTTTTACGAACCATTGTATATTAAAAGTCTGTTTGCCCAGTGTGTCAGTATTTAATAAACCAATGATTTGTCAATCAGTTTTTGTTTAATGTGTGCGATTGAGCCGCGATTAAAACAAATTCACATATGGCAGGCGGGGAGGGGGGTGGTGGGGGGTTGGGAGGGACCAGATTAATAATCCTTACATTTGGTACAACGTCCTTCACATCTGGGGGACGTCTCAAAGCGCTTCACAGAATGTAAAGTGGAGTGACTGTGTGTTTTGCGGGCAGCTAAATCGCCAGCAATGTCCCACAAACAGCCATGGAGTGAGTGACCAATTTTGTCCGATAGCGCCACGGGATCTTTAACATCCACCTGAACGGGCAGACGGGACTTCAGTTTAACGTCTCATGCGAAGGATTATTATGGAAAACTTACGCGTTAGGGTGAAGAGCTTGCAGTGCTCACATTGTACAGAGTGCTGCACTGTGATAAATACAGCAAGCAATCAGTTGTAAGTACAGTTTACGTAAAAGAAAGCCATGAATTTCAACACAGAGAATACTGGAATTCACAATCTGGCTTCAGAGCAGAGAGACGATTCTGCCCGGAATCTACCGCTCGCAAAGGATAATAGCTTAATCTCGCCGATGTCCAAAACACAATTTTCTGGAAAGTGCTGAGCCACAAAGAAACAGCTCAACACAATAAACATTTCCGGCAGACAAACCAGGGCTGTAGCTCAGTGGTTAAAGCGCTCACCTCACAAGCGAGAGGACCTGTGTTCGATTCCCGGGCAGGGCGAGGTGTTGGGCAAGTTTCCTTACTCCATACGCCTCTGTTTACCCGGCAGTAAATAGGTACCCGGTTGATAGTCGATTGGCAGATCATACATTCATTGAACTTTTCAGTAAATCCTGTGAAGCTCTGTGAGACACCGCGATGATGTTATAAGGCGCTGTGTCAAATGGAAGGATTATTATTGTCCTGAGAGAACAAGTCACTTTTCGAACACATACTGCGGGAGATGGGGGAAGTGGTTATGGGAACTGGGGGGTGGATGGGGGGAAGAGGGAAGTGAGGGGCTGGAGAAGCAACAGCGAGAGAGAAATGAAGAAACAACACAGGGCGGCTTTTAAAAGTTTTTTTATATTTAGAAATCTTTCAGATGACATTCCACTGCGCACCTTAACAATAAAAAGACTGGCAACTCTATATAGATTTACACATGGAGATCTCAACAACCCTCAATCACCGACAAGGTTACTTACACCTCAGCACAATAAACCTGGAAATTAATACTATACTCTAGAGGCTATCTCTAACCCACCCACCCACACCCCACCCCCCCCCCCACCCAGATCCTTCCTCTCTACTTAAAAAATAAATATTTAATTCAAGTGTTGTTATGTGTGTCGAGCACTAGGAACGGGAAACACACAATGGAATATCTGCACAATAAGATAGCGCTAAAGCGAGAATGTAATTGCACACAGACACAGTAATGTGACTGGACAGGACGTGAAGCGGACAGAGGTGATTGTCAACGGGATCTGGTGGAACTCAAACCCGCGGGGGTTGTGGGGTGGGGGAGGGAGGCGGGGGGAGGCGGGGGGATGAAGGGGGAATCTCCAGGGGACCCACCCCAGCAAAACACCGCGGGGCAAACACAGATTTCAAATCCCTTTCCACATTAAACATCAATGTGAAACACAAGACCCTCTGATTCCCACAGTCTTGGACGTGGAGTTTGGATGTTCGGCGGAAATTCGATCTCGGAGCTGGAGTCTCAGCTATGTCATGATGCAGGATAGATTGGAGGGGGGCGGGGGCGTGCGGGGGGAATGGGGCTGGGGGAGGAGAGGGCAGGACATGGGGAGGGGGCTGGGTGGATTCAAATCTTTTTTACATGTAGGTGTCATGCCCTTTGAGTCACCCCCCCCCCCACCCCACCCACCCCCATCTCCCTGAGGGCGAGTACAGAAGGATCTGGGGGTACGAAGTCTCTCCTCAACAGACAATGGGGGGAGTGGAGGTAGAGCAGAGAGTTGGAGGGAGGGAGGGAGGAAGGGAAGGAGGGAGGGAGGGAGGGAAGGAGGGAAGATATATATATATACACACACATGCACATCCACAACAGAAATGAATCCCCCCTCCACCCCAGCCCAACCCCCCCTCACTACTCCCGTCCCCACCCCACCCCCCCCAGGCCACCACTCGCTGTCCTTGGGTTGAGCGTGACTGAGCGGTCACACACCCAGGCGGGGTGCTGTGTGTGAGCTATTACGGCTGACGAGAAAAGCGTTGACGTGGGAAGGAGAATGGGGACATTGACACGCTTATCCCGACCGACCGACCGACTAAGAGTTAACGAGATACATTGTGCGCTCGGGGTGGAAGCAAAAAACCATTTGCAAATAGTCACTGAATCTGCGAGAGGAGGTTTAAACCCAGTGACGTTACGGGTCCCTGGAATCACGTTCCCTCAGTGGCTGGCGGGCGCTGGGCGGAGACGGGGAGCGGAGTCGGGGAGGTGGTTTGGGGGGGTGGGGGGGGGGCGGGGGATGGTGGGGGGGCCGGGGGGCGGGCGGGCTCCCCGGAGTGACTGTTGTGGACGCGGAAAGCCGGGTTCTGTTCCTCTCCGGGCTCAGGGCCCCCCCCCGTACGCGTAGTCGGCTTTGTTGTGCATCACCAGTTTGCTGTCCACGAAGTAGAAGCTGTCGGACTGCGTTTCGTATGGGTGCAGCACCATCTCGCGGACTGCGGGCAGAGAGGGGAGCGCTCACCAACACACGCCCGTCACACACACACACACACACAGCGCTCACCAACACACGCCCGTCACACACACACACACAGCGCTCACCAACACACGCCCGTCACACACACACACACAGCGCTCACCAACACACGCCCGTCACACACACACACACAGCGCTCACCAACACACGCCCGTCACACACACACGGCGCTCACTAACACACGCCCGTCACACACATAACACTCACTAACACACACTGTCCCATTCCCCCCCACCCCACCCCACCCCCACCGGAGTGCGAGCGAGGGCCGGGTACTCACTGAGCTCCTCGGAGAGCTGCGGGAATTCGTAGATGTGCTCACACGTGTTCTTGCTGCTGGGGATGCAGAAACCGAACTCAAAGTCGAAGCTTTTCAGCAGCTGCTCTCGGAAGTAGTGTCGCTCGATCATTCGGAAGTTATTGATGGGTTTGTCACCCACTGTGAACTCCACCCTGTGGCCAGACACACACACACACACGTCACCTACAGACAGACAGTGTCACAGACACACACACACACACACACACGCACACACACAGACAGTGTCACTGCCAGACTCAGACACCCACACAGACATCCACACAGACAGACACACGCACACATGTCACCTACAGACAGGCAGTGTCACAGACAGACAGACAGACAGACAGACAGAAACGGACAGACAGTGTCTCCGCCAGTCTCAGACACCGGCGCAGACATCTACAGACACACAGTTGGTTGAGGGGGCGGGTGGCTGATCCCCTCCATACACACACACACACACACACACACACAGCCCACGTCAGACGCACCGAGACACGGGTCCAGCTGACAAGTGACCGTTTTGTTTGGCCGGACAGGTGTCAGACACAGACGGAATTCCCTGCCTCCGTCCCACCTACACGTGGAAATCCCAGAGACAGATTGTGGGAATGGATTCCGCGCTCTCTCTCTCTCTCTCTCGCTCTCCTGCTTACCTAATTCCGGAGAGTATCAGGGGCACTTACGTGGCTCCCACCTGCCGCAGCCTGAGGAAGGCGGGGGTGAACTGGTAGCGGACAAAGCGGCCGGCGTTGGGATCGATGTCCTTCTTGTCCCCGTGATCGCGGTCTGGAAAGGAAGAGGGTCTCCGCTCGGCTCCGTCTCACATAGCGGCCGCACCCCGGAACGGCAGCTCACACGCTGCTCAGCCCCGCCCCTCAGCCCCACCCTGGTCCCCCCCCCACTCAGCCCCGCCCTGGTTCCCCCCCCCCCTCAGCCACGCCCTCGGCCCCTCACCCAGACAGCCCTCGTCGGTCCCTCCCCTCTGCGACACCTTATGCCCGTCCCCTCAGACGCGCCCTCGGCTGGGGGTAGGAGGTGCCCGCAATCGGGCACAGCGATGCCACGGCAAAAAAAATACCACTTACCGGACGCTGGGGGTTTGGTGATTTCAAACAAGACTGCCCCGGACTCCATGTCCCGGATCTTAAACCGGGTAAAGTCGATGTTGTAGATGTTGTCCTCTGGAGCGCACAGGTAATCTGGGGGCAAGAGAGGGGGAGGGGAGAGGGAGGTAAATACACCAGCCTCCAGCCCAGCGGACAGACCACCCACAGCATACACAGTCACTACACTTTACAGTGCACCCTGTGAGACGTCTTGGTGATGCGCTAAGGTGTTATCTCAAATGCAATTATTATTATCATAAAACATGCACAGTCACTACGCTTCGGAGCAAGAGCCTGGGAAAAACGCTACGAGACCCCCACCGACGAGGGGCTAAATCAAAACCGAGGATCATTATCGACGAGTACAATCACTGCCCCCGATGGAGATGGGGGGGGGGTGGTGGGGGGGAATCCCCTCCCCCCAGTCCCTCCGCCTCGGCCCCCTCCCTCCTTCCTCTTCGGCCGCCCTTACAGTCACCTCCTCCCTCCCCGACCCGGCATCGGGCTCCACAGCTGTTAAGCGCTCAGTTGTTGTCGGGATCGGGGAGGGGCCGCGAGGAGGGCGGGGTCGTGTGGGGGGAGGGGTCGTGCGTGGGGGGGGGCAGGGGCTGTGATGGAGGCGGGGCTGTTGCCCGTACCACGTGAACCACACCACAGCTTTGCCCGGATTTAAGCTGCCGCGGAGCAGGTTGCGGATAAGCAGATTGCTCAGTGTTTAAGCTCCTGCGCCTGAAGCTGCCGCCAAGACACACTCGCCCGAGCCCGAGAGCACGCCGCTCCGCCTCCCCACCCCCTCCCCCTGCGGTCGCACGCTCTCTCGCACCAACACGACACGCGATCCCAGCGGCGTCGGGGGCTTCGAGCAATCCGGAGTCAGGGAGAACCAGGATCCTCCTCCCTGGAGCCTGTGCTGAACACTGGGGCTGTGGCCGGGCGTGGGATTAGACCTTGGTTGGTCGAGGGCGCCCATTCCCCTGCACCCCCCCCCAACCCACCCCCCCACCCATATCACGACGTGATAAAGCGCTAAATCAAATGCAAGGAATATTACACCATCAACAAACACCCAGTCACTGCAGCTGACAGTAATTCCCTATGACGCTGCGTGAGCTATTAAATAAGGTGCCACTAATGTGAGGATTGGTATTGATTCATCTGTGCGACACTGGGTGACAGCAGTCACAGCCGGGGGCCAGAGGGAGCGTAATGAGGTGTTTGCAGGGTGGGTGGGGGGGGGGGGGGATACACACTCTGACTCACTATTGCTCTCTGATCATCATCCGAACATAAGAATTTGCAAAGCAATAGCAGACCAAGGTCCAACTAGTTGGCCTTCCACCATCCCGGCAGTCGCTTGACATGTTGTGACCCAAACTATGTACTGTATCCCCCCAGGTGTATTTTGAGCTGAAGCCTGGTCGGGAAGGGTTAATGCTCCTCCCCTCCCTCAGTCTCTCTCTCTCTCTCTCTCTCTCTCTCCAAGAGCAGCTCTTTGATGTGCTCTTTCTCCGATCGCATTATGCATCTGTCACATGCACCTGCCATGGCAACACGCAGCTCCCAGGCAACGGGATACAGTCAGTCAGTCAGTGCAGCGAGGGGCCTGGTCCCTGGATCTCTTTCCCCCTCCCCACATCGCCCCCCCCGCCGCCCCAGACACGCCAGCCGCCCGCTGGGATACCCACACCCTCACACTTACTCACTCACTCACGCCACACGCAAACGCACATCGCCACACTGCGGGTCGGGGGGAGTGAGAGCCACCAAGCCTTGGGACGTCCTCTCGATATGAAAGGCGCTATACAAATGCCATTTGCTGTTGTTCTTGCGAGACCGGCCACACTGCCCATCAGACCTCTTTGAAAAACTAATGCATTGAATCCCTGCCTTTCCCCCCACCGCCCCCCCCCCCCACCCCCACACATCCTGCAGATTGTTCCTCCTTCCACATCTATCTCCTTCCCTCCTGAAAGCTAATGTGGAATGTCCCGCCTCGGTCACCACTCCAGGCAGGACACGCCACCTCCCAACTCTAGATGTGCCCGGAGAAGAGGAGTGGGCTGGTGGAGAGGGGGAGTAAGGTGGGCTGGTGAGAGAGGTGTGGGAGTGAGTTGGGATTGACTGGGGGCAGGAGGGTGGTGGGGTGGGGGTTGAGTCAGGGGCTGGGGAGAGGGGTGGAGATACTCTCTGTTGGTTTATCCTAAACTGACCCCCTCCGGTCACTGACTCATCCACCAGCGAAAATGGGTTCTCCCTATCGACCCATCAAACGACTCGTCATGTTAGAAGCCCTCGATCAGGTCTACCCTCCCTCAACTCTGTCTGTTCAAGTGAAACCAGACCCACTTCCTCCAGTTCCTGCTCAGAGATCTTAGAGGTGATGGGTTTCACACACACGTCTGACCCCACAAAAAGTCAAACTAATCTGTGTTATCATCCATGTAAATCTCCTCTCACCTCTCTCATCTGAAGTGAGGCGGCCAAAACTAGACAACGATTTATACCAGTTAAGAGTCACCTCTTTGGTCGTAGTTCTATTCCCTGATTATATTCCTTCACCCACCTGCCCGCCCAGCTTTAGAGACTGCCGGACATTAACCATGAAATCAAGTGCGGAGGCACAGATAATAATACGTAACATAATAATCCTTGCATTTGATAGAGCGCCTTATCGCGTCGTCGTGACATCTCAAAGGCGCTTCACGGGACACACTGTAAAGTGGAGTGACCGTGTGTATTTTGTGGGTGAAACCCGGCAGCCAGTTTACGCACAGCTGTGTCCCACACACATTCGTCGAGTGAGTTAGGAATTTTCACTGCATCTTTTGGTGGTGGGGGGGGGGGGGGGGTCTGACAAGTGCGGAAACCCATCACTGTGCTTTAAGAGTCTCTAAACCAGACAGGGAGCCGCGTACAGATGTCACCTGCACATGGAAACGTCCACATATTGGAAAAAGTGCGCTCTCGCCCGAGTGAGGCTGCTCACTCGCGCTCACACACGCACGGTAATCTCACGGATAAGCGGGTTATTTATAACCCAGTCAGATTACGCTGGAGGTTTATTTAACTTCCTGTTTTTAATAGCAGCAAAAGCAAGCCTGGCGGGAGTGGGGGAGTCGGGCGCGGGGGGGGAGGCCAGGGGAGTTTCCTGCCTGAAAAGACATAGCGCTCTGTCACGACTTCGAGACATCACCAAGCGCTTAGCAGAATATACCGTAAAGTGCAGTGACTGTGTATTTGGCGGCCGAAACGGGGCAGCCAACTGCGCACCGCTGCGTCCCCCACAAACAAAACAGTCGTGGATTGAGTGACCAATTGAATCGACTATTTCTTAAAAATTATTTGGGTTTCGAAGGGGTTATTATCTTCGCCAATCGAACAACCGGCTTCCGACTTACTGCCGGGTAAACACAGGCACGTGTGTGGAGTAAGGACTCTTGACCAACGTTTCGCTGTGCCCGGGAATCGAAGCCAGGTCCTCTCGCTTGCGAGGCGAATGCGCTAACCACTAAGTTACAAGACTCCACGAATCGCAAAGGTGCTGGGTTTACCCCCGAGCCAGCAAGAGAAATATTCATTAATTTTCATTCTAAATTGGATTGCGCGCTGACTGTAATCTGGGACTAAGCTGGTTTGGTGCAGGCGGTAAATCCGTCTAATAAAAGGCACAGGCCCACTTTCCGCTGTAATCCTCAGGGCTCTGCTAACCAGGGCTCTTCACAATCAGCCTCGCTGCAAGTGACCTTTACTGACCAAAATAACCCGCATCAAAGGGGCCCCGCGCTTTCCTTTCCTTTTCACGCGGAAAAAAAATAGGATTTGTTCACAGAGGAGGAGAGGTGCTCTGCCCCTAACTCACACCCCCACCCCTCACCCCCCCCCCAGCCCACACCAAATCACACCCACACCCCTAGCCCCAGGCCAGGATTAATGTCCCATACCCATTCTCCCATTGGGATGGAGGAGTAATCAGGACTTGATTCAATCAATGCTAAAAGCTTTCACTGCGTGAATCGCAATGACCTGTTCACACGGCACCACCACCCTAACCCCCCTCTCTCCTCACCGCAGCTGCAAAGTTCACGGACTGTCACGTCCCCATGCCCCCCCCCCCCCACCTCCAACCCCATCCTGACTCCAGGTGCTGAGTCCAGCCGGGAGCACAGCTTATGTTGACGTGTTGGTGTTCAGATCTTTCACTGCATTTAACAACTGGGCTCCTCAGGTAGTCAGATCACATTATCATTCCCCCCCCACCACCACCACCACCGAGCAGCAGGTTTTCAAGCTAAACACATCAACAAGGCTGACTGAGCTAGCTCGAGGGGGAGAGGTGGGGGGAGACTACAGAGAGATAGAGGGACAGAAAGAGGACTCTGCGCTTTCTGGCCTTCCCACCAACAGGCGAGAGCGTGTGACTGACTGGCTAAATCGGTCGGTCTCACACTCTCACCTCTGGCTCAGGTGGTTGCGTGTTCAACGTCGGGGACTTTTGAGCTCACGGTCTAGGCTGACGTTCCAATGCAGTGCTGGGCTGAGCGGTCGTCATTGTAGCTGTCCTTCGGGTAAGATAATTAATTGTCCCGCTCCACTACTGAAAAGAGAACTGAGTTTCACCTGAAGGCCTTTTGTAAGACCTTCTTGTGGATCGAGTGACCAATTATTACCCCGGAAAGTGATCCATCAGGTTCCTACTTACAGGAAGGTAATCAGAGGCGTGTGTGTGCGTGGACTAAGGAAACGTGCCAAAGCTTTTGCCCTGCCCGGGAATCGAACCCAGGTCCTCTTGCTTGCGAGGCGAGTGCTCTAACCACTGCGCTACGAGACCAAAACTGTATGCAGTACTCGAGGGCGCGGTCCGACCAGAGAAGCCTGAATATAACACCTAGAGATCTAAAGTCAACTGATCGAACAGTGTAGCTCCCCCCCCCAGCATCCTTTTTGCCTTGTTTATTGCTGCCTCACACTGTTTTGACATGGTGAACGATAAGTCAGCCAACACGCCTGTTATTATTATTACCCAAGTTCCTATTCTTACTTCCTATATTTATTTATGGAGAAGCCTGAATTTATTTATTATTTATTCGTGTGGA